TTACCCAGAAAAAGTGGACGACAGCTCCCTCCCACTACCCCTTTCACTCCCCTCCCCTGCTTAACCTCAGAGATGATGGCTTCTTTAGCTATCGATCGCACAGCACTCAGGAAAACTTGATCTTCCCCACGAGTAAAAAAATATACATATAATTTGATTTCAGGTTTTCTGCCACTGCCTGTGAGTAGCTAAGGGACAGCCCTCCAGGCTAGTGTTGGGTGCTGTTACAGCTTTTGGTTAGAAACCTGCAGGTCCTGGACCCTCTCTTAAAACTGGAAGGTGAACAAAGAGGCCAGCCTAGGGACAATCTCGCTGCACCGGGAAAAAACGGTTCCCTTTCTCTTCCTCACTGGGGATTCAGGCTGATTGTCTTTGAAGTGGTTTGTGATTAGTAGGGGTGGGAACAGCCAGGAATATCGAGGGGACATGTAGCCTTTGCTGGTCCAGAGACTGAAGATGGCAGCTCAACTCCCCTTCCAAAGTGTCCGCCACTACAGCTCTCATCGTGCCATTATCCAAGATTGAGTAACAGCCTAGGTGCGGGGAATGGGATGGACTCCAAGGCAAGTGTAACACCTGTGGCGCAGGTTTTTCCTGAAGCAATTGAAGACACCTCAGGAGTCAACAGGAAGGCTAAGAGCTGGATATACCCACCAGGAAACCTCTGGGGTGACCCTAGTCATTTTTGTTTTCTTTAAAACAAAACTATTTGAACAGCCATATTTAATGCATGCTTTCATTTTTTTTAATTCTTCCTACATTTTAATTCCCATCAGGAGTGTGTCCAAGTGCCGACCTGACACTCTACGACCTCCAGGGGGAGCTATGACCCAACTTCTGCCGAATGCACCACTTAGGATCTGTTTTCTACCATGCTGCACCCCCTTTTGGAGAAAAAGAGAGTGAGGGACAGAAGAGTTCTGCTAATTTTTTTTTATTGAATCCATTGGGTGACATTGGTTAACAAAATTGCATAGGTTTCAGGTGTACAATTCTATATGCCTATTTTAAAAATACTGTTTTAAGGCCAGGCCTACAGGAAAAATTCCAGGTTCCTCTGTGACATCTTAGGCACAAGCATGATGCTCCATGTGCTAAAAGCTTCCACTCTGAAGCAAGTGCAGCAAACCCAGTCACTGAGCTCTCCTAGTCTTACATAAGCTGGGCCTCCTGCCCAAGACCCTCTTCGTCCCTTCTCAGGCTCAGACCCTCCCATGCCGGTCCCCGTACTTATCCCTGCATCTTTAACAGCTCAGGTGACTCTGGAGTGACACTGAGTGTTTACAAGTCCCACACCACCACACTGTGGTGCCCCTAAGGACAGAGCCTGTGTTTGGTCTTTCCTTAGTCTCCAGCACGGGGCACATGGTAAGCGCCCTTCCCATGGGTGAGCATGAATGTTCATGACAGGGAAGGATGAGGTCACAGGCCCTGGGCTGGTGGTTTGGGGTGAGCCTCTGCCAGGGCCAGAAAGGACTGGCGTTCTCTGTGGGCTTGGACCCAGCCCCTTCTGTCAGTCGCCACCACCCCTCTAGCTCTGTGACCACAACCACAACAGACCCCCAAATCCCTTCCTCATGGAGACACTGTGGAAGTTTGAGGGGAGAAATTGCAAAATAAAAACACATATAGCATTCCAAGAAACAGACTTGCTGGCGTTAAAGCAGAGATGATTACCTTTGACCCCAAAGGCTGACCCAGGATTTGCTCACTGGCCTTCCACCTGCTGACCCCAGTTGACATCCTCATCACCCTACCCCTTGGTTCAGTGGTTCTAACCCAAAAGCCTCAAACACCACCCTGGTTGGTTTCTTTTCTAATCCATATGGTCAGAATAGAATAGAAATCCATGTAAGTCAGGAGCCCATCCATACTGGCCTTAACTCAGTACGTCCTTTCTGCCCCAGGTTAATATTGAGCAACTATCTCCCAAATCTACTTTGGCAAGAGTCTTCTAGAACCATGAAGATCTGCAACACCAAGGCCCTTCAACATTATGAAAAGGAATGTGGACGCTGTTGCCGCCCAGAGAAGAAAGGTGTTGCAAAAGCGAGGGCCCTGCAGGTAGACGGAACAGCCAGAGAAAAGTCATGGAGCTGAGAGTGTGTGATCTGCGTTTCAGAAACAGTAAGAGCTGTCGGGCAAGTAAGAGACTCCCTTATGGGCAAGTAAGGGGATGGGAAGCCTGGCCAGAGACATTTGGATCAGGCATCAAAAGGCCTACAGGGTCCCTAAATGTCTCGTGGGGGGGCCATGACAGACATTTGGAAGTTTCTAAGCAGGTGATGGCATGCTTTTAAAAACCTGTGGCAGGAGGGTGGAGGGTGGTTGGGCGGGGGCAGTGGACGGCTGGGGATGGGGAGACGGCTAAGAAGGCTGTGATCAGACTGCGGAAAATTTCTCCATCAAGCCAGGGTGGAATGCACTTGTTAAAGTTTAATAAGTTTAATTGTTAAAGATATTCACTGTGGGCCCTAAGGAGAAGGACATGAGGGAGAATCCTTAAGATTTGACAGAGGTATCAGAGGTAAGCATCAGAGATGAGCGCCCGGGCCCCAAGCCAGGTGGGCATCAGGAGGAGGTGCCACGGGCAGACATAAGGGAGCCAGGAAGAAGAGCTGGTGTATGGGGGATGAACAATGTGGCCTGGGCATGTGCAGGAGAAGCAGCCCCGGGCCAGACAGAGCTATCATGAGAGGGACACTTGGTGAAGGCAGGTGCCCCCTCTTCCCCAAGGTTCAAGCCCTGCTCTGTCCTCACTAGTTGATCATTTTCCCAAAGATGGCCTCTGAGACTGGGAAAGCGTAAGTTCTCTGAGGGAGAAGGGCACAAGGCACAGAGGGGCTGAAGCACTCAGAGGGGCAGGAGGAGAGACAAAGTGCTCTGGTTGTCAGGATGGCTTCCCCAGGTGGGTGGGGAACGTAGGGGGAGCCAATACTGGGGGGGGGGGCGTGTCAGAGGCCTGAGAGGGAAGAGCAAACAGCTGGAGAGCTGGGAGGGGGCCAGACCACCAGGGCTCCAGAGCAGCTTGCTGGGGAATAGCTCCCTGGGGGCTGGCAAGGAATGCATCCTTTGGGGGAGTGGGCCTGTGGACTTTCTCAGAAACAGGAGGGACACAAGTTGGAGGAGAAGGTGAGGACAAAGAGAAGGTTCTTTTAAGAATGGGGAGTTCTGAGCAAAGGAAAGAAGGAGGATCAAGACACAAACAGATCAGATAGGGGAACATCAGGAGATGCAAAAGATGGGACTGAGCAAAGAGGTCCCCGCTATTTACTTTTCTAAGGTGCCAGGAGAGGGGAGAATGGATGAAGAAACCGAGAAAGGATGAAAAAGATGGGCAGCTGAGAGACAGCGGGATCCTGTCAAGATTCCCTGCATCCTCTCCACTTAGTAAGAGGTAGGGCAGGTTGGAAGGTTGAAGAAAGGGGTGGAGTATGTATGCAACAGTTTTGGGGGGATTTCTCTCAAGCAATGCTGCTCAAATGCAATGTATGTACAAATCATCTGGGATCTTCTTAAAGGGCAAGTTCTGATTCAGCAGTTCTGGGCAGGGCCTAAGATTCTACATTTGTAATAAGCTCCCATGTAATGCCAATGCTCCTGGTTCAGGGGCCGCACTGGGAGGAGCCAGGATTAAGAGAGATAGGTAAGGAGATGGAGAAAGAGACTGGCCTAAGAATTCACCTGAGGGAGAGAGCTACCTTTGGTACTCCCACGTGGGATAAAGGCTGAGACCTGGATTGGTCTGGGAGACAGTGACAGGTCTGCAGGTGATGGGGAGGTGGGCGGGGAGAGGGAGGGATGGCAAAGAAGGCAGAGGTCCTGAGAAGGTGGGGGTCTCTGGGGTGGTAGGAGGCCCAGCAGCGTCCCTGGGACCCCTCATCTGGGTCCATAGGGCAGACCACTAACTGCACACTTGGAAGCCCCCCAAAAGAGGACGGGAGTCTGTTGGGACAGGAAAGTGACATTCTAGGGGTGTCTGAGAGTGACACAGCAGGCAGGGCAGGCCACCCTCATGCTGTTCTGCAGGAAAGTGCTGGACTCAGTGCAAAGCCTGGCCAAGACACACCAGGACAGAATGTGGGGAGAGGGGCAGAAATGGCTCTGCCTGGGAATCAAGGGCAAGATGATTCCTGGCCCAGCAATGAAATCTGAGAGGGAAGATTCTCTGGCTGAAGAGAAAGACAAGTGAGTTGGCTCTGAGTCCTAACTCCAAGCTGTAAGTCTGCAACTTGCAATCAAAAATCTAGAGGTTTCTGAAAGGCACAGGTTGGAAAGAAAATGCTTTAGGTTTAGGCAACAGGAAATAGGGATGATGGCGTGGGAGGAGCACAGTGCAGGGACTTGGCTGTTGGCCCCTGGGGCCCAGTCTGAGAGACAGAGGTTTGGTACTGGGCTGAGGTTAAACCGAGGTCAGGTTCACCAGGGAAATGCGGGGAGGACAGTCGGGCGAGCAAAGAACGTCAAGAGCAAAAGCCTGGAGGCGTCAAAATGAGTAGCAAGTGCAGGACCAGGGCGTCGCTGCGAGAAGCGGCGGGTACTTGGGTGACTGAGATGAGGCTGACATGAGGCGGGAGGAACGTCCCGGGGCGACCCCGCGGCTGGTGGTGGCGCCTAAGCGCCGAGTGGCAGGTCCCTCCGCCGCTGCCTGGCTGCAGCCGCACAGCCCCTCTGCTCGCCGCCGCCCCTGGCCCCCGGCCTCGGCCCCCCGGGTCCCTCGGTCTTTCCTGCGGCCTCCGCCAGGCCGCAGCCCCCAGCCCCCAGCCCCCAGCCCCGGCGGCAGACTCGCCAGGGTCCGCCCCGCCGCGGCGGCCCGGGCCCGGCCGCTCCTCCCCCGATGATGTCACGTCCCCGGCCGCCCCTCGGCCGGCCGCGCCGCCCCGCCCCCGCCTCCCCCGGCCCCGTCCCCTGGGCCCGCCCGCTCCCGCCATCCCTCCGCCCGCGCGCTCCCTCCCTTCGGCTCCCGCTCCCCCGGGAGCGGCGGCGGCGGCGGCGGCGGGATGGCCCGGGCCCGCGGCCAGGCCCTGGGGAGCGGCGGTCGGCGGCGCCCGCGGCGGGGCGGTGCGGGAGCCGGGGCCCGGGGGGAGTCGGCCGGGCTGCTGCTGCTTCTGCTCCAGGTGCTGCCGCCCGGGGCTGCGGCGGGGCCGGGGCGCCGGGGCCCGCGGGGCGCTGGCGGCGGCGGCGTCTGCTGGCCCGGCGCTGTCCCTGTCTTTCCCCGGGACGCGCGGCTGCTGCTGCTCCTTCCTCCGCTGCCGCCGCCAAGCTCCGCGCCCGCAGCCTCCGCCTCCCGGATGGTAATCAGCGCCCCGCGCCGGCGCCGCGGGCGGGCGGGAGGTGGGGGCGACTGGGGGAAAGGGCGGGCAGCCCCGCGCCCCCTCCTCGCTGGAGGCAGCTCCCGGGGCGCTCGGGCCCCCCTCCTCCGACGACCGCGGCCCTGGGCCGCCGCCAGAGCGCGCCTCTGGGGCGCCTCCGCGCGGACCGGGCGCCGGCTGCGCTCCCGCCCTCCCCGCCCCGCTCGCAGTCCGCCCGCCGGCGCTCAGGCCGCGGGGGAATCCCTCCATCTCCCCGCCCCGCGCCCCGGGAGGGGAGGGGACAGCGTCGGCGCTGGCGGACCCGCTTTCTCCGAGGGAGCGCCCCAGAGGCTAGTGCGCACTGAGCCGCCGGGACTCAGTGCTGCGCTGCGCTCTCTAAGGCGTCCAGTGCCGTCGGGTCCGGGGAGCTGAGACGCCCGCAGCCTCAGGGGGAGCGGATCCCCGGTGGCGGGGGCGCCCACCCACTGCGCGCCCTTATGTTCTCTGCGCAGGACGCTCTGCCCCGCGGCGGGCTGAACCTGAAGGAAGAGCCGCTGCTGCCTGCCGGCCTGGGCTCAGTGCGCTCCTGGATGCAGGGCGCAGGCATCCTGGACGCCAGCACCGCGGCGCAGAGGTAAGCGCTCGGATGCGACCCAGCGCGCAGGGGTTGGACGACTCCGCGTCTCCTTCGCTCAGCTAGCTGAGCTGCTAAGGCGAGGGCTGTAGGGAGCCCTAACTCTGGACTGTCCCAGCAAGCTCTCCCGCCCACCCTGCCCGGAGCGTCAGTGCTGGTCCTGAGGCTGTGGGGCGGGCCGGGCGGGGCGGGGCTTCTGCCTCCTCTCCCGGCTGTCCCGGCTCTGACTTCTGACTGTCGCAGGCGGGCCCAGACGTCCACGGCTCTAAGGGAAGAGGTATGTCCCATTGCCACCAGCCTTCAAGGAATGGCCAACCCCTCCTTGCTGGGCAGTCCTAGTACCTCTCCAGGTCCAATTCCGTGGCTCTCTACCAGGAAAGACACGAAACCCAGCCCCCTTCTGCGTTCCCACGCCCCTCAGAGTTGGAGGATGGATGTGCGGGGCTGGAGAAGCGGCAGGGGCCTGATGAGAAGGGAAACATGAGGTGGGCAGTCTGCTTGGCTGGAGTGACTGGGGCTGGGAATGGGGCAGAGCCGCTCAGGTCCTGCGTCTTATCAAGGTGTTTTTTCTGGTGGGTCCTGCGGGAGGCAGGGTGTCCCTGGAAACCCAACACCCACGCCCATCTCCTCTGGCTCCTTTGTAGGAGCCTGTGCAGAGAGGCGGGATGGGGGATGGACTCTTGGATTTGGAAAGAAAGTTTAAAGATTTCTTGACCTGCCCCCTACAACACTTGGGCCCCCAGCTTTTTGTATCCCTGGCTGTGAGCATGGCGGGGAGGGGCTAGAATTAGGGAGGGGCTGCCTCTGCAGACGGCCTCCGCGGCGGGGGAAAGCTGGTCTCCCCAGAGTTCTGAGCATCTGCTTGTCCAGCAGCCTGACGGGATTCGGATGGGGTTCCCGGGGCAGACCAGGCCTGGCCCACAGACCATGCAGTCCCTCCCCCAGTTCTGTCCAGGGGACACCACTCCTGGCCCAGCCCCGACCTCGCCTCTCAGCAGACACACACCTTGTTCCTGGTCTAGCTGCACCCGTGGTCCTGCGCTCCTGTCCTTTCATGACTGTCAGGAGGGAGCAGTGGGGGCTTTCTCTGGAGCTCGTTTCTTCAGAAAGAGAAAGGTCTTGCCTATGATTAATTCATTCATGATATAACTATGTTCCAGAAAATTAGAAAATAGAAAACAAAGTCCCACCTCTCTAATACAACTGCTGTCAACATTTTAGAGGATCTCCTTCCCACCCTTGTGCTCATTACCCTTTTTTTCCCTGTACTATGCATGCAATTCTGTATCCTGCCTGTTTTTCTGTTTGTTTGTTGTTGGTTTTTTTTTAAATTTAACTTGACACAGTCAATTTCCTAATGCGACCTCATCTTTTTCTCCACTGGCTATGTGGTGAGAGCTCCTTGTAGTAGTGGGTAGGGAGTACCAGGGGGCCTTTAGGGTTCAAGGTTCCCATTTCTCTCTGACCCTCCCCTGCGCCCCAGCCCCAGGCAGCAGGTTGGATGAGGGGGAAGCGGATGTGAAGGTGGCAGTGTTCCCACAGCCTGTGTGGGTGCAGGAAGTGTGGGGATGAGGCTCTTCCATGGGTCAGGCCACCAGCAGTGTTGTCTGCACATAGGGCTTTTGACATAGGGTGTTTGGGGGTCGAATCTGAGTCCCCAGTGCTACACTGCGGGGACTCAGAAGTCTTCTCCAGTGCGAAAAGGGGCATTTCGTCAGGCCTGGGCTGCTTATCTGCAGTTTCAGAGACTTGTCTTAGGACACAGCTCAGGAAGCCCCTTCCTCCACCATTGAGTGACTCTGGGCCACCTCCTTCCAGACGGGAGCTGGCTAATCCTTTCTCTTCATTCTTCCTGGGGTAGTGCAGCCTCTTTCCTGTTTGTATCTCAGTCCCTAGATGGTCCTGTGCTCAGGTCTTCCATCCTAAAACAGCAACAACAAAACTTTCTTTCCCATCCCCAGCCTCCCTCTTCACCTTCTGCTTGGTTCCTCTCCCACTCCCCTCTGCGAACAACCCCACCCCACCCTCGACCCGGGCTGCTTGGAACCTGACAGTTGTCTTTCATGCTCTCCTTAACCCCATAGCCACCTGGCTGTCAAGGCTTCTGGAAGTGCCCTCTGTGGTTTTTCTCTTAATCTCAGTGCCCACAGCCAACTTTTAACGATGACATGCCCTGGCGCTCCATCTCTTTCCTCCGCGGCTGAAGGTTAACCTACCCAGGTCTCCTGCTACCCAGCCCCAGCCTCTCAGCACTCCCCCAAATCACCTGCCGTGCACCGGCAACCAAAGCAGTATTTCCGAAGGACTTTACTCTAATCACGTCCCTCTTCAGTTAGAAACTTCAGTGACCCCCACTTCCTCCCAGATATTCATCATTCAGGGCCCATCACTGACTGGCCCCCAATTTCCTCACAGCCCCTGTGTGATTCTTGTCACCCAGCAATATCTCTTCAAACAGTTCCCCTGCCCCCAGCGCCCATAGGCCTACCAGTCTTACCCAGTATCTTCTCTGTTGGTGTGCCCCCACCCAGCTCAGGGGAGTGGCTTTTAGTGCTGCCTGAGGATGCTCGCCACAGGCCAGAGTCAGCTGTGCTCTGCTTCTCCCGAGCTTCCCTGCCCTGCCAGCCTGTTCCTTCCTGTAGCGCAAGGATGGTGGCCTGTTCATTCTTGTGTCCACAGCACAAGTACAGGTTCAAGCATTATGGCGGGGGGGGGGGGGCGCGGGCAATGAGCATCTGCTGCAGGAGTCAGGAGCGCCTGTTAGGAAGTTACCACATCCCTTTCTTTGGGCTTTCCTCTCCATGCTCATGGTCTCCAGGATCAACCTGACCTCAGGAACCAGGTCCCAGAGCAGCAGCTGCTCTCCAGCTTTACAAAGCCAAGGTTTTACAGAAGCTGGAGGTGGAGGAGAGGACCCAGAGCCAAAGAACAGTGAGGGAGGCTCTGCCAACAGGAAGGAGGTTCTCAGCAAAAGAGGGATAGGGGCAAAGAGGGGCTGCAAGCCCTCAGCCTGGAGGCTACAGTGAAGGGAAGGGAAGGCCGCTGCTGAGGACCACCAGGGTCCTCCGAGTGGAGAACTCTGCACAGGACCCCGGTGTTGCCACTATCATCCCTACTCTGAGCCGAAAGGACTTTATCTCTGAGGCCCATATCCCAGCTCGAGCCCACCTTCCCCGGACTCCCCTTCAGACCCACATCCTCTTGTTAGAATGCTCAGCACAGAAGCAACTGTCCTCTCGTCCTGATGTGATTCCCAGCCTGGGGAGACCCCTGGAGGCCCCAGGCCGGCCCTCTGCCTTGAGCTGGTTCCACCGCACTTGCAAGGGCCCTGACAGGGAAGCCAGCTGGGGCTGCCTTTCCTGTAAGCAGCTGCAGGCTAGCCTCCCTGCTAGGAAATGCTTTTGTTTGCTTTAATAATTAATAACCGCTCCTCAGCCTGGGACCTGGCAGACAGGCCTGTGGGTGGGTGGCAAAGGAGTGGGCAGAGAGAAGCAGGGTGGGCAGTCTTTTCCCCCCTTGTTTAGGGACCTCAGTGGCTGAGGCAGTTTCCCGGGGCAGGTGATCAGAGCCGCTGCTGGGGCAGTGGGAGCAGGGGATCTGAAGCAGTCCCCAAAGTCTCCCTCCTCCGGGGAGGCCCCTCTGGACGTAGGTTCTGAACAGCTGCCTCTAGCCGCGAGGGCCTCCTCGTCTGCATGGTTGAGGTGGGTGTGCCCCAGCGAGCTGCTGCTTTTATCCTCCCTGGTCTGTGGCAGAGCCAGGCTCTGGGCATGTCAGGCTGGGCAGGGCTGGGCGAATAGACCTTGGCTGGGGCCAGGAATGCTGGGCCCAGCTTATTGGTTACCAGAGTCCAAGGGGCCTAGGGGATGCCTGCAGGGAGAGTGGGGGGCCAGTGGGATACTTGGAGGAAACTTGGATGCTGAGGGAAGGAAGGGGGCGCTTAGGGAACCATGTAAGGGAAAGGAGGAGCAGGATTTAGCAGCGACTTTAGGGAAATTGAGACGTGGATGAGATCCAGGAGATACACAGTTTTTGCTCCTTCCACCTCAGGGCAGGGGGGAGGGGGAGGTCAAAAAGGAGCCTATTCGCATTGCTGTTGATCTCAGGGCTTTGTCCCCATCTCTCCAGAGTCCCAGACTCCAAGGTAGATAAGATAAGTCAAGGCTCTGTTCAGAACCACAGGCTGTCCAGGGGGAGTAAGAAGGAGGGTTTGGTGTGGAATGGGGAGAGGAAGCGGCCTGAGGGTGCCTCTGGGGCAGGAGCCAAAGCTCTAGCTTTAGCCGCTTGCCCTCTGTGGTTTGAGATGCTTGTTTTAAATTGCTAGTGTTTATAATAACCATGTAGTCAGGGATGTGAGGAACCACGAGTGGCCTCCTGAGTACAGAGCAGAGTCCACAAGGGAGGTGTCGTCTGTAGGACACAGTCATGGCCAAGTCCAGCAGCTTCTGCAAGAAGGACTCTGGGGCATCCTGCTCAGCCTCAGAAAGGAGCACCTCCAGGGACCGCTGAGTGGCCCTAGCAATAGCAGCCGGACAACTCAACAGCCCCCAGCATGTCCCCATATGCACCCCTCTGTATGCTGGAGCATAGCCCAGCTGAATGGCCCAGGCTGCGAAAGTCAGGTTGTCCTTGGTGTCCACTTGAACTTGGACTCCCCAGCACAGTACTCAGGAAGCGCATGCGCACACCATGCTTGCTACAAGGCTGGTATCCTCCCATCAAAAAGTTGCTGTGCAAACCAGAGCTCTTCTGTCACAGTTGCCTTTAACTTTTGGGCTATTTCAAGACCAAAGATGGGAAGAGAGGGAGTGAGCCACGGTGGAAATATGAAAGTGAACACTTTCTCCTCCCACATCCTGGTTCTTTAGTGCAGAAGCAAATGGCCCACCGCCTCAGCACACTCCAGAGTTGATAGGAAACGTGTTTTTGAACATTTTGTTGAAAACAATCTTTTTAAGAACGCGAGATCCGTAATTTGTTTTGGAGTCTTACAAAAAGCGGTG